ACCCGCACCGGGGACACGCACCGGTACCGGGCACCCGCACCGGAGACAGGGCGTCTGCACTGGGGACAGGCACCGGCACCGGGGACACGGACCGGCACCGGGCAACACGCCTTGGGGGACATATACCGGGACTGGGGACACGCACTGGGGACACTTAGGGGACCGGGCATCTGCACCGGGGACCTGTATCAGGACTGGGCACCCGCACCGGGGTCGGGCACCCACACCGGGGACACGCAAGGGGGAGCGGGGACGCGCACTTGCGACACGTAGGGGACCGGGCACCCCCACCAGGGGCAGGAACCCACACCAGGGACACGCATGGGGGACCGGGGACACGCAGGGGACTGGGCATCTGTACCGGGGCCAGGCACCCACACCAGGGACACACACCAGGACCAGGCACCCATGCTGGGGACATGCAGAGGGGACTGGGCATCCATACTGGGGACACGTAGTGGGGACACACACCAGTGCCCTGCGTTGGGGACCTACACTGGGGACGGGCACCCACACCCAGCACCCACAGCGGGGACCCCCCGCCTGCTGTGGGTGCCCACCCTGGGACCGAGTGGACCAGCCACACGTACACCCACACCAGGCACAAGGCCAGGACCCGCACCCGTATCAGGGACCCCCACCGGGGACCCCCACTGACACCAGGCACCCAGCACCCACACCAGGAACCTGCACCCAGCGCAGGACCAGGCTGTGGCACCCGCAGGTGGCCCAGCCCCGGGGCACAGGCACACAAGCATGTCAGAGGGCCGAGCATGAGTGTACTCACACACACACGTGGGGTGGGGGGTCCCCATGGGGGGATGCCCCCCACATTGACCAGCCTGGCTGGGGGGGGGAACCTTGTCCCCTTTAGGGCATGTGGTTCCTGCAGCCCCATGGGGAAACTGAGGCACAGGAGGTGGCAGGAGGCCATGACCCCTGGGGACACCCTGCTGTCTGCCCCGCTCGCCCCCATCACCCCCTCGGCCTGGGGGCTCGCAGGTCTGCCTGCCGAGGGACAGATTTGGGGACAGATCTGAGGATGGGGGGTGTCACTCCAGTTCTGCCTGCGGAGGGACAGATTTGGGGACAGATCTGGGGACGGAGGGGCTGCTGCTCTGACCGTGCTTGCAGAGGGGACAGATCTGGGGACAGGGGAGTTGTCACCCTAAATGTGCCTGTGGAGGGACAGATTTGGGGACAGATTTGGGGACACAGAGGTTGTCACTCTGGCCGTACCCATGGAGAGGGCAGATCTGGGGACAGAGGGGTTGCCACTGTGGCCATGTCCGTGGAGGGACAGATTGGGGACAGAGGGGTTGTTCCTCCCGGGCTCTGGCCGCATGTCCCGTCCCCCCCCGTCACCGGGAAGGGGACACTCACGGGCCGGGGGGGGCCGGCCGGGACCGCCGGGGACCGGGGCTGGCCCTGGGGGTGGCCGGGGGCCGGGCAGCGAAGGCCACGGTGGCCTCGCAGTGCCACCTGGTGGCCTCGGCCACGCGGCGTGGCAGTCCGGGGTGGCACCGTGGGGGCACCGAACCCCCCCGGCTCGGTCCCTGCCCCGAGCACCCACCCCCAGGACCGGGCAGGGGTCGAGGATAGGGACACCCACCCATCCCTGTCCCCATCCCCACGGTGGGGGGACTCGGCTCCCTGTCGGCACGCATGGGCCCTAGGAGCCACCCACTGCCCCATCCATGCAATGAGCTGCATCCAGGTCTCATGCCAGGAGCCAGTCCCAGGGCAAATGGGGCTGGAGGCTGGCACCCTATGCCGTGGCTCAAGTGAGCGTGGGGGTCCCGGGGGGGGGGGCGCTTTGTGAACCTCATCACCACCCCTGGGACCCACCAGCAGCCTCTCCCCATCCCAGCATGCCCCACACTTTGCCAGGAGCCGGGCTGGGAGGGCACGTGCTGTTTGGGGAGCTGACGGGGTCACAGAGGTAGTTTGGGGGATGCAGAGCTGGGGACATTGGTGGGGACGCGGGGCAGGGCCCTGTGGGCACTAATAGGCCATAATTGCTCTGAGTGGCCCCACCTGCCCCCCCTCGACCCTCCT